TGACACAACACTACACAAAAGCATGTGGATGCAAGCAATCCTCGTGTAAAGAGAGATATATTGAAGATATTAATAAGCTTGTGGAGTGGCTCTTATCACATGATCCGTTCCCTATGATTCCAAAAATATATCCATTGCCAGCGGAGTCGTCGACGATGATAAAATTAATTGCCATTATGGTCTTGCAGTTGGACTTGCTTCTATAAGCAAAAAAACTGGCCAAACGTTTAATAATATTAAATCGAAACGCACTGATAGAGTACTTCCTCTTTTAAGTGCAAGTAGCGTCATAAAAGTTCATGATAAAAAGGTGCCTATGGACCCTGTATTATTATTTGAACGCATAAGCATTAACTAAAACATTTGAAGATGAACTTGAAACATTCTTCGCATATGAATTAACTCCTTACCCATTATCACTCTTTGATGCAGTGGAAATGCGTAAAACTACGAGCTCAGCTCTTTATAATTGCTTTGAATGTTTAAACTTCGAAATTGATAACACAAATGCTATCCACTTCATCATCGATGGAAGGTATCTATTACACCGTGATGTATGGGATCGAGATGAAACATTTCATATTATTTTTGTACGAACACACGACATCGTTACAAATGGCATTCGTTTTCTTCTTGCAAAGTATAGTGCTCCAAAAAAAGTTGATTCCAAAGACAAAGGTTTGAGGTTTGTAAAATCCGCATGGTAATTCTGCCTTTCAACACTTGTATCGTGTGTATTATCAAGTTCAAGTGGCTACTTCTGGACCAAGAAGGATGGGGTTAGAAATTAACAGATAATTATTTGGAGCCAATACAATCCCAATCAACTCTACTCCCGCGTGCTCCAGAAAAACTGCTTAATACTATTTCTTGTAGTTTATTTGTTAATGCAAGGAAGATGGTTGTAAGAATTGTGGCTATCAAAAAGTGGGATTATTTTGTTAGCCAGTATGCATCAATTGTCAGGGTCAGACTTCCTCCAATATTGAAAGAATTACAACAGATAAAAATATTTATGATATTAATGAAGAGACAATTGATGCATCCCTTTTCTTAGAATAGCGAACAGAAATTCTGCAAGAAGAAGAAAATAAATAAAATAATTGTCGAAGTAGAATTAGACAATTATCTAATATAATATAATTTTGAAAAAAAAAAAGAACCTATTCCACTTTGATCATTAGCAATATTACCATTATTTCAATCAATAGCATACGATCTGATTAAACTTTCTTCATTACAATAGATCGTGGAGCATACCTACTGCGGAAACCACGTTAAAAAAATGCGCCAAGTACATTACCTCATAGGTGTTGCGGAAATGTGGGCATATTATGTAAAATATGAAATTTCTAATTATTAAAACCGCAATATCTCACGAATGGTGAGTCGTAAGAGAAAAAAAGTGACTGACTACTTTTGTTGAGAATTATATGATCTACAACTTTTGTCTGGCCTATTTTCACGATAATACTTACGGTTTTCGAGAAAAATGGAAAAAAAAAACTTAATTTTGTATGTTTGACCTTGAATATATTTTTTGCAGAAGTGGGATCGAAGGAGATTTCTGACATTTTATTTATAATGATGTATTTAAAGTCTCTGCCAATTTTCAGCTCTATGCGAATTTTGGCTAAGTTAAATGTCTATTTTGACTGGACTATTTAAGTTCTTTCGGCGTAGATAAGATCAAAAAGTTAATTAATTTTAACCTAAAATTAGCCCAGGTATAGGTATAGGTAAGTAGCCCAGCCTTATAGTTAACTATGGCATTGGGACGTTGAAGCCGCCAGTCCCACTTTGACAATATGTGCTCTAAAGTGTCGAAACGTCTGAAGTACTATGTAAGATAATAAATAATTAAATGACCAATAATTTCAATAAATAACTAGTATTCGAGTAAATATAACCAATAAATAAGAATTAAGTAAACTTAAGCTTTTAAACCTTATTAAGAAACTACTCGTATTATTATTAAATTTCGAAAATAGCAAAATGTTATTTTTGTTTTATCAGTTTTTTTTTTAATAGAATAGATGACAAACTAGCACACAGTTCACCTGATGGTAAGTGGTTGCTGTGGCCCAGAGACATCTACATTTCTGTCCTCTATTACGAAACAAAATGCAGATACGTTGCCACCCGTGAGGACTTAGGTGGAATGCCTCGTTTCCAGTAAAAAGGGTCTCCGGTTCTCTACACTCACCATACGAAACACAGCAGCATCTACTATTTGACGCTGGTATTTTGTGAGAGCGTGGTTCCTCCCCGGTCGAGCCGACCCATTCGTGCTACAACTATACTATAAATATAACTGCAGCATGACTCTACCACGTAAGATTAGTGTTAATTACTTTTTATTGACAAAATGCTACATAATTCTGTATTATTCATATTACACTTATAAGACACATTTTACTAACTATAAATAACAAATATACAGGGCTTTAATAAGATTCATAGGAATGAAAATTCGTTTTAAACTTATACTTGATAAATCAAATTGTTATTAAAAATATCAATTGTGATAATTACCATTTAAGTGTAAACGTTCCTTTCTCAACATTGCCTTTAAGTTTACTATTTCTAATTTTTTACATCAGAGAAAATTATTGTTTCTTTGTTTTTTCGTTTGTTGTTGTTGACGCTACATCCCACTCACCATCCGATAAAATTATTTAATGGTTACATAACTCATTTTACAGTAGAGTCGTCTTTACAATTTCAATACCGAGCTTAACATTTGAAACTTTTTGTGCGTGTTATGCTCTAATTTTATTATTAGTTATTAAAACTACACCAGATATTCTTTGATTTTTTTTAAACATTGATTATAAACAATATAAAAAAAACTATAATATAGAAAAAATAAAACTAAAAATTTTAATAGTCAAAAAGACCTGCTCCCCGTGGTATAATGACAAGAACGCTGGCTGCGTTTGATTAATTTTACGTGGTTAAAATATCTTTATTGTCCTGACTTGTTGTATAGCAATATTACTTCTTATTGATAACGGTTTGTAATATTAAGCTCATTCATAGTTTTATTCATCTACTATGCTGTTATCGATTCGCACATATAGACTTATGTCTCCAATTTCAAATATGGCGTATAATATAAAAAAATATATATATATATATATATCTAGAGAAGATTCCCTGCAGATTTTCCTTCCAGTTTTTTATTAAGAACGTCCCGATTGCAAAATATGAGGAGGTTCTCAATTCGACTGTATAATTTTGCATGTAAGTAATAAAAATAAATAACTAAACAAAAACGAATATATCGTCGATTGTTGCTAACATTGCGAACAAAATCACTATGGATTAAAAACGTCATGTATTATAAAGTAACGTCACAAATAATACTACTACAATAGGAATGTCATTTTTCTAGTTAATCAGTATGAGTGTACTTACTCTCATATTTAGCATAGTATAAAGAGACATTACCTGACATTCTCAACGGTTTAGAACCAATTTTAATGAATTCTTTTTATTGAACAGACCTCGAGGATGCTTAAAATTTAAATTAAAAAAAACTTTTAGGGATGGAAATATATGAGAAGAAATTCTTAATGTAATTAGACGACATCTAGTGTTTATTAACTTGAGGTTGTGTTGTATCTATTCCGTTTAAAAGTGTCCAATAATTAAAATTAAAAAGTTAAAACAGTTTAAAAAAAATGAAAATAATTACCATGTTATTTAATAGCTTTTGAATTAAGACAATGTATCAAAAAATAATGCCTAAATCGACTTCATAAGCTATTTTTAATTTTGTTTTTTTTTTTTTTAGTTTCTTTAACATTTTAAGTTAAATTATTACCTCATCACGCGTAGTCGGGCTTTACTTGATCGTCAACAACTTCGAGCATGGTGCTTCCAGCAATTACCGTCAAATGTGGAACATACATGTTACACGACTTATGTTCATTTTAAGACCCATGCGCTGATAGATACTATTAGAGACATGGATCATAGTACTTAGTTCTTCCAGCAATTTTTCCATAATGACTATGCCGTTGGCAAATCAAAAGGTGAGTGAGGTGCTCGTCATTGTTGTTGACGATACGTTACGTGACTTTACCTTGGCAGTCCAGTAGCTTGAAAACATCTTCGAGATAAGCTGTAAAGATTTTTAGGTATACAGCGTCACAGTTTTTACACGTCATTTCGTCTCTTTTGAAGTCAGTAAGTGCTGAATTGTTTGTAAAGTAGCAAAAAGTTCAGCACTCCAATACAAGGTATATTGAAGTGCTGAACCAAACGGTCCACCTGGCACTGCTGAAGGATCGGTAGCACCACCCTAATTTCTCCGGAATATATGCATATAGTAATTTTTAATGTAAGTTTAACCCGTATCTTGTTGTATATGTAATACGCATAATAATGGTGAGTCATTTGCTTACTATAATCAAATCTAACAAGGAAGGGAAATGCAACATTAAGTGAAAGTGGTTTTATAAAGGAAATAACATACACTTACTACAACATTAAGTAAATTATTAAATCAGATCCAAGGGGTTTATGAGTTTAATAATGAATAATCATCTTATATTAACGTTATTCAGAATAATTAACTGTGACTTATAAATCCACTTATCTTTTTCACTTGACAAATCAAAAGCACTTTACTTAATTTTGTCGTTTATGAGCATTATTATCAAAGATTAATAAGATTAGATCAAAGATTAATAGAGATTAATTTGCATGATTTGATAAAGGTTATAAAGTAAAAGTTACAAGTTTCTACAGTTAAATCACTTTAAATGCTGTATTTTCTGGTTAAATTTTTTGTCTAATATTTATATACGTGCACGCTAAGATACTTTAATTCTGTCTTAATTCTTCAAAAATATCATATTTACTACTACAATATATACCACTTTTATTATTATATTTATTTTATAGTATATCATGAACGTTATTTTTATAGAGTAAGAATGCCTTTGTTTTTCTTTGGAAATTTTTCAATTTATTTTTAATTTTTCAAACAGATGCCAATGACCCACATCGAGCTCGAAGCAACGAAAAGGCAATTGAGTTTAGAGAAAATAAGTTCATAGTGCCATTGAAACTAGAAAAACCTATGTTTATACAAACAGAAGTCACGAAAACTATGCAATATTTAAAAAGATACGATCTTAATGTGTATCCAAATGAAACAGAAATAGCTGTGTTACCAAAGTTCAAACCGATTTCAGACGCTCAAATGATGAGAATTAGTGAAATTTTGAAAGAAATATCGGAGAGTACAAATGTGCATAGTACAAATAGGTTAAGAAAAGGACGTCTATTAGACAGCACTGCGCATGCGAGCGCTGCACAACCAGAAATTGTAACAGAAAGGGTTCAAGAGACATTGGAAAGACAAGATGATAAAAAGTGCTTCCAAGGTGGAACATGTGAATTCTTTATGTACTGTTGGATGGTTGGCGGATTACTAGATGGCTCTTGTGGAGGTTTGCTTAAAGGATGCTGCCATAGAAATTCTAAAGCCGGAATACTTGGTGTCCAAGACTCAAACAGTATAGATTACGCATCGAATGAAGGACTGAGCTATGGTCCTGTTATAAATGATGAAAGTAAGTGCACACTTTTGCGAGTTGTGATTTGAAGTCAATGCAAGCGTCGTGCTAAAATACACTAAAGCATTTTGTAGATAAATATGTGCTTAAATACAAACATTTAAAGAGCATTGTTTTTACTAAGTTTACGGTTTTCTAGTATTATTCTGACTTTTGCAATCCTAAAATGATACAAATCTTGGATACAAACGATATACGGTGTGAATGACGACTTTTAATGCATTGATTTTCAAATTTGATTCAACGGTAACAGAGCTCAGATGTGGTCATTCGGCAAGACATAGATAGAATGTTCGAAGATTTTGCCGCATTTTTTAATTTTAGCGACGAGTGACGTAAGCAGGTATTGTTTGGGCAACTTGTATATAAACTGTAATTATGTACCTATTCAGAATATTTATTTTTCGCTCTATTCTAACTATGTCTTGCTTTTTCACATCTTTTCATATAATATATATTGTATACTTTATACATTTTTAACACACTAATATATACTTTATGTGACTGTTACTTTATTTTCTTCTTCCTACAGGTATAGAAGGTAAGTGCGGATATAAAACTAAAACCTTATTTATTTTCAACAAACTATTATTAAATATAAATTAACTGTAAAGTTTGCTTTATTTTTACTATTATATATGAAAGCTATATAACTGTATTTATCACTGTATTAACTTTCATATGATAACTTTTGTACATACCTAAAAAAGATCAAAGATTTATTGAAGATGTAATACATATTTTATTTAAATTGCTCTGAGTAAAACTGGTCGTAAAATTTTAAGCACTGCTTAAAGATCTGCCGTGATACTTAAAATAATCTGTTGACATCTCACATATACGTGCGCATTAACCTGTACATATATGCACAAAATAGCCACGCGTCCTTACGTCTGTGCCGCTAAATTGATCGTCATGCGCCGGCGCCGGACGGTGAAAGTCAGATTGCATAACTATCAGCTGAGAGGTACAGTTGTGATGTAAATCAGGTACAATCACCAGCAAATGACATCGCTCATTATAAGTCAAATTATTAGTTACAAAATAAGCGGCCATACATTATTTTTATGTCAGTTTTAGTTAAGTTGTCAACTAAACGACCTTTTAACTGCCACAAATAGTTCAATCTTTCTTACAAATCTTTGATTATCATAATCCCCACGACACCCTGTAATAATCTCATCATTAACCCTCTGTAAATGGGTACCCTTCAAAATTGAGACATTTCCATAATCATTCCTTTTTAAGCCTAATCGCTTTTATCCTATACCTTTAAACGAGCAATTCTTGTATATATATAATCGGAATCGCGGAAACGGCTCCAACGATTTTCATAAAATTTTGTGTGCAGGGAGTTTCGGGGGCAATAAATCGATCTAGCTAGGATTTATTTTTAGAAAATGTCTTTTTGTCCGTGTTTTTAGGCAATGAAAAACTGCTACAATATCGTTAGAATAAGAAGGTAAATTTTGACAGTTTATTAATGATTACAAATAGCTTAATTGGTATATTGGGCGGTCACAAATTCGTAATACCATGGTTCGAGCCCAGATCGGACCGCTCGACTTTTTTAATTTTTTTTTCAAGTTTCTTTCTTTTTTGAGAAAATCTATTTTTCGAGCCCTTTTTTTAGTATTTTTAAAAACACGAAAATTTAAATTAAACTAATGCACTCATGTTTTTTATTCAAATAACCAGTTCAGTTTTTTCTATTACGTCGCTAAGATAAAAAAATATTATTCGTATTTCATCAGTATGTAATTTGTATCTAAATATAATTTCCAAAACACACGAATTAAAAAAAAAACCGAGCGAAAAATACCGAGCAAAGCTCGGTCAACCGGGTACTTAATATTTAAGTTTCAAATATTCAAGATGGACTCATTTTTACGTTGGACGCGATCAAAGATAGACTACGAAATAACTACTTAATATTAGGTATATGGACACGCTAGTAATATTAATTATTCCAAGGAGTCACTATGTCCTTCATGAGAACATGTATACGCTTTTACCACAAAGTTCTAGAAAATAGGCAAGATCTGTCTCAAATAGTTTAGTTTTTCTAAACAAAAGCTGCAGGCGCATTGTTATAAAAAAGAATAAAGGAGTGGTAATAATAACCCGGAAGAAGGGGATCGTTACCTAGCAGTTTCTAAATATTTTCATACTTAAATGTATGCAAATTATTCTCAAAAAAAGTTCCCACTGGTTTCCTTGCCGGTTCTTCCTAGGAATAGACTTTCCCGAACAAGTAGTAAAAGGATAACTTTCAATAAGTATTACTTGTAATCTATATTGAGGATCAATTGTTATATTTTAGGTGATAGAGTCATGGTGCAGCTATATTACTGATATAATGTCCTCCAGGCCGAATTTCGGCTACGGCGGCCGACCTCACCGGAGGCTAGCCATCGGTACAGGACAGGATTATAGTGCCCAAGTGTATGCGCAAGCACAGGTGTACTCTCCATTCCCTCAGTCTCATAATCCGACGGGACGGTAAACCGACACGACCGGAGAGAGATCAGGCGCAGGACCAACGACTTTACGTGCTTCCTGACTCCGGGCAGTTACTGAGAATTTCTTGACGGAAAACTCAATAATTGATTTTTTGGCCCGACCCGGGATTCGAACCCAGGATTTCATGATCAGCCGTCACACCAGTACAACCACTACACCAACGAGGCAGTCCTTATTACTGATATAGTTGTAGTACTAATGGGTCGGCTCGATCGGTGAAGGACCACGCTATCACAGAATACCAACGTCAAATAGTAGCTTAACGCTGCTGTGTTTCATTTGGTGAGTGTAGAAAACCGGAGACCTCCGGATCTTAGTCCTCACGGATGACAACGCATCTGCATTTTGATTCGTTATCGAGGATAGATGTAGATATCTATAGGTCACAGCAACCACTTACCATCCGGTGGACTGTGTGCTCGTTTGTCACCCTATCCTATAAAAAAACTCATCACAGAAAACATTAAAATGCCGAAAAAATGATATGAGTTTATTACACTGCCATGTAGGCCTAGTATCTATCAGTGGTATTAAAATGCAGATGAAGATTATGTGGTTGATAATATGCCTTAGAAGTATTAGCAGCATATGTGCCTCTATCGCTCAAGCAGTCACGTGGACGTTATATAATTTAACTAAAGAACATACATACTGGTGATGGGTAGTAGAAATCGGCAGGCCCATCTTTACTCATGAGGACACTGGAAAAGGACCCAAGGCCCCGCAATCCACCCCCGTCGGATAGTGACCCCGACGTTCCCTAGCTCCTACTTCTGTTTTATTGTATTATGTTAATAACACTCTGTCATAGGAGCCCCATTTATCCTAAAGTGCTCACGTTCCTAAGAAGGCTCTGGATGTCAGTTATGCGTAAGATATTCTGTCCGCTAAACCTACTGTTACATCCTGTCAAACGTCCCTTGCCGAACATAGACCTCCCCCATAGTTTGTCTGACCAAGATCATTTAGAGAATATTTGCCATATTTGCCATTTTTTTTAATAGAATAGGGTGACAAACGAGCACACAGTCCACCTGATGGTAAGTAGTTGCTGCGGCCCATAGACATCTACATCTATCCTCCATTAAAAATCAAAATGCAGATGCGTTGTCACCCGTGAGGACTGAGATGGAATGCCTCGCTTCCAGTAAAAAGGGTCTCCGGTTCTCTACACTCACCATACGAAATACAGCAGCATTAAGCTACTATTTCACGCTGGTATTCTGTGAGAGCGCGGTCCTTCCCCGGTCGAGCCGACCCATTCGTGCTACAACTATACTACTAATATAACTGCAGCATGGCTCTACCACGTATATGCCATGCTTGACAAGCAAGATGGTTTGGCGAATATTCAGATAAAATCTTTTAAACTATGCAGTAGCGTAATTTTGAAGGCAGGTAGTGGCAGTTTGACGTGTAGTGGCGGTGTAAGAATATCCACTACACCAGATCATCCCGTGGGTGTCGTAAGAGGCGACAGAGGGAAACAAATCAGGAGATAGCAGCATCTTCCTAATAACGACTTATAATAAAAAACTAGGGTTGGCAACCCGATTACCAAGCACGCTAACTATAGCAGATATTCCCCAATGAGGGGAAAGCCTATTTTCAGGAGTGGACTTTAATAGGATGTAACGGTAACGGTAACCCAGTAGTAGATAGGAGATGGAAGAAGATTTTCGGTATTCTTTATCCTCGATTGTGACCTTGGAAAATTCTTAAGCGTAATTTATTTTAATAATTAATGTCTCAGGGTAATGATCGTACTGCAACTGTTCGCTTTATTACCAGCTTAAATTATAAATAGCTTTTAAATTACAAATACCTTTTAATTTTTTTTTATAGAAGAGGGGGCAAACGAGCATGCGGCTCACCTGATGTTAAGTGACTACCGCCGCCCATGATCAACCGCAACACCAGGGGAATTGCAGGTGCGTTGCCAGCCCTTTAGAAAGGAGTAAGCTCTTTTCTTGAAGGTCCCCAGGTCGTACCGGTCCGGAAAAATCGCCGGTGGTACACTATTCCACAGAGAGGTTGTACGCGAAAGAAAACTCCTTTTGAAACGTACTGGGGTGGACCGCCAAGCATCAAGATGGTGTGGATGGTATTGGGACGTTTGCCGCGTAGTGCGTTCACGAAATTTGGCGGCTGGGATCAATCCGAACAATTCCTCAGAGCACTCTCCATGGTATATGCGAAATAAAATGCAAAGAGATGCAACATCTCTTCGCAGTGCCAGTGAATCGAGCCGATCGGAAAGCACTCGGTCGTCGACGATTCGAGCCGCTCTGCGCTGGATGCGGTCAAGTGGAAGGAGCTGGTACTGGGGAGCCCCAGCCCGGAGATGGGAACAGTATTCCATGTGCGGCCGAACCTGCGCCTTGTAAAGTTGCAGGCCGTGTGCCGGCATGAAAGACTGTCCCGCTCTGCTGAGCACGCCAAGCTTTTTAGAGGCCAATTTGGGCTTCTCTTCC